ATGTTTATTCATTTATTTACTTACCGGTATTTTATTATTTTTTAAATTTTCTATTCCTTTTTTTATAAAAAAGCCTTTATTTGCATTATCCTTTTATACTATTTATTATCTTTTTTAAAGTTTTCATGTCCTGTAGTACACATATAACTGTATAAGATTAACAAGAAGAATATGTAACATGTCTACATGAATAAAATATTTAAAAAACAACAACAACAAAACAAAACAAAAATTATCTGGGAATTTAAGCACCAGCTGATGTTATATACATGGACTAGCGTGCCACTATCAGGGAAAACATAATTTTACAGTATTTAAAACCCCTGAGTGGCACCGCTATCAATACTCCAAGTTGGTGTTAACATCACAAAATAAGGATTAAATGAACACAGAGATTATTAAAAAGAACCTTTGAAGAAGGTCAATGATAATATATACTCGGCGTCATTAATGAAGGGTCAAACTATTGGTAACACAATTTCTTAAAAGTGGTAAAATCTGTGTTTTCGTTAGGAATATATACAACGGGATGTTTTACAAACTTTCTTAACAGTATGGAAAAACACATCAGGCCGTTGAAATAATGTCATTATGACGTTCTTTAACGTCCGATACTTTCTGTTACAAATGGCACATTTTTAATTCAAATTGTCAATATGGAAATCCACCTGCCACTTAATGTCAATGATTTGCACGTGCAAGTCGCTCTCTCCGTGGAAAGTGGATGACAATACACATGCATTGATGCTTTTTTCACTGTCGTTCACTGTTCAGGTATTTGTTTGAAATCGCAGCTTAAAGTAAAATGAGACGTTTGTTGACACTTGCTGAAAGGGGTCAGGCTATAGGCCTTTTGGAATCTGGTCAAACTCAGCGGCAGGATGCTGTCCGCTTTAACGTGAGTCAGAGTGCTATTGGTTGACTGTGGAGAATTCAAGCCAATGGGTCCGTGGAATATGCACGTCGACCAGGTTGCCCCAGAGTCACAACAGTCCCAGATGATAGGCACATGATTAACACTGCGTTACGTAACAGATTCCTTAACGCAGCAGATCTTCAGACAGAACACTTCAATGTCAACAATGTAAGGATATCCAGGAGCACCGTTCGTCGACGTTTAAGGGCAGCGGGACTTCGCTGTAGGCGACCTGCAGTTCGTCTACCACTAACACCACGTCACAGGCAGGCGTTTGAGATGGAGTAGACATCGTGGCCGCTGGAATCAACGTCAATGGTCTTGTGTGCTCTTCACAGATGAAAGCAGATTCAATTTGTCCTTCCATGATGGTCTAAAGACGATTTATCGTCGTAATGGAGAGCGAATCACAGATTTAACTGTGGCCTCGCATAACCGATTTGGCGGGAGTCGGCCATGGTTTGAGAAGGGGAAACTCCTACTGGACGTACTCCACTGCACGTGGTCGACAGCCTTATCGGGATGAGATCATGGCTCCTATAGCAGTACCATTCCTGCAAACTATGCATGACTTTTATGGTCAACCCTTTACTGGGCAGCATGCACACCAGACCTCAACCCAACTGAGCATGCCTGGGATGAACTCGGTCGACGTGTGTACACACGTCACCCAGCGCCAGTGGATCTCCGAGGACTCCGCAGTGCTCTAGTGGAGGAATCGAATGCGATTCCGCGAACTTTCTTTATGAACTTGATAAGGAGTATGAAAACAAGGTTCACATGTGTCTTGGAAAACGCGCAATGTTTATATACCCTTACGAAAAACGTAAAATCCCTAATCAAAGGTCAAAAAGGAAACATTGTCACGTGACGTGTGATCCAAAGTATGATGATACTGATGACCTGGATTGCCCGATCACAGTTTCACGTGCAAAAGGAGTGAAACCTGTAGAGATATGATTGATTCAATGAAGTATAAACTGTTGCTACTGTTCTTACCCTGATTACTTTTTGTTTTAGAAATGTTGTTTATCCAAAGTAGTATAATTGTGTACCATCAAAACACATGATAGTAATCTAAGAGGTCCTTTGGACATAGATATATTTCTTAGTTTTATCTGTACCATGCACAATGTAACAGATGGTTGAAAATAATAATTTACTTCCCAATCCCATTCGTGAAGAAACATCCATGACCTTTACTCATCGTTATTAAGACTTTTGGATTTGAACCAGAGAAAGTGAGTGTTTAAACGCCACCAAACAGTTGTTTCAACGGCGCGAAGTTTGCAAGAAGCATGACATTCGAAAAACATGGACAGCATTGGTCGCTTTTAAAAGACGGTGAACCAGACGCTAAATATCTTCGATCCATGCAGTCTTACAAAACAAGTACCACATGTCACGCCTCGGGGGAAATGACAACCATGTGGCAGGTGCCCTCACTCATTCTGGACTGTTGACCGTTACCACACCTTGAAACAATTATCTTTCCATGTAGTAGCATTTCTTCCGATGCAGTAAACAGTTTACTGAACAAACAAAACTGAAATGTTTCGGTTTTGGCAAAAGCACCAATTGTTGCATTTACCCAGTATCATCAGAAGAAGGTCAGAGGGGTGGGCAGGAACCTTGTAAAATTATGTTAAAGAATGATCTTTTACCTATAAACGATTTGGTGTTTTTTAATCTTTTTTTTGGTTTTGTATTTGTCTAGAGGATTCGTTTGTGCTAAAGACGCATGATGTCAACAGATCGTTTTTCTTAATTATGGAATGGCAAAGGCCAACCAAACACGATTATACACCGCACCTACCGTCTTTTGTATTACACTGCAGGTTGATTTCATAGGTTGATAAAATTCTTAGTGTTTTGAATACGTTGTTCTTAGGAAGATGCTTACAACACGAAACCCCTGCCTGTGAAAGGTGTGCGTGCGCTCGCGTGTCTATGTGCACATGTGTGTGCCTTAAACTATGTATGCAGGTGCGAATATAAATATACATATGGAAATTAATTAAGACTGAACAAATTTAATGAACTGGTGCATATAAATTCTCAAAGAATTCCATACCATACGAATTTTAAAGTGAAAAGAAAAGGTTGAGGAGGAACATAGCCAAGAGTACCTTGACATAATCTGTTTGTTTGAAGATGGTACAGATTAGGAAAATGACTTTATTTCATGTAAAAACACCTCGAATTCTACTTTTCTTGAACAAACTTAACTGTCATCACCATGCACACATATCTTGATCAATTGAAGAATAATGCCTAGATGCTGACTTTCCATGAGTATCTTGTGTAACCTCCATGTAAACGAACAACTGGTTCAAGACGCCTCCTCACTCATTGGATTTATCTCCTGTTCCATTCCTCATGCAAAGCAGCAGTCAATTCATTGAGAGTATGGACAGGTGGGCCGAACACCACGGCCTAAAATGCCCCACAAATGCATAATGGGATAGAGATCAGGACTCATGGCTACCCTTGGAATGGACTCCTGGATATTGCGGGTAGCCATTCTTTGGCTCCTTTGTCTACAGACACGTGTACAACCATCCACCGTGTGCAATAAGAAACTCTCATCGGCAAAGTGAATCCTCCGCATTGATGCAATGTTCAAGGTTCAAGCAAACACGTTGATTGCACCAGCCAAGTCGTGCTTCTTTGTAAGCTGGAGACAGTTTTATACGCTTGGTGGGTCTTCTGGGCATGTATTCCTGACGGTCCTGCAGGAAATGGCTCTCCTTAGTAACCACTGTTGCCTAAACCATGTCATGAGTATTAGGTCCCATGTACGGCGCCTTACAAGTCTCAACAATACTTTATACTCTCTTATTGTTGTCTTACGGTGTCAGCCAGGTCTTGGAAGACTTTTTTAACATCATTAGTAGCCCTGTGTTTGTTCTAAAGTCTTGAAATGATGGAAAAATTGGGCTCAACTTGATGTGCAATTTGTCTAAGGGACATTTCTCATGCCAATAATTTGTCCCCTTGTCGCCTCTGACAATTAACGGCGTGCCGTGACAACTATGGTACTAAATATTCAGTCAAAACTGAAAGGAGTTCGTGTGACATGTTGTCAGGAAAACGTGATTTCAACAATGTTGGGGTATGACATTTCCCGTGCATTGCGCGCTGTTGCATATGCCATGAATATCTCCACATAAAAATTATGCTGTACAGTTAATAAATCATTCAGAAAAATATATGTTTTCTTAATTCACATAATTATAGGTCTATGAATTAGATGTTGCTTAATTAATTTCCATATGTGTTTGTGACAATGTGTAATTTGGATGATTGTAGACAGGAGCGTGTATATATTTCTTTGTGTGTATGTGGAACGATTTGATGCATGTGCATGTAGGAGGGATGTGTAAGTGTGGGTGGTCGTATGTGTGTAGCTTATGGGTGTACATGTTATGAATGCCTGTTATGGAACGACGTTATGTACGTTTTATGATATGTTTTACTGTGATGTAACTATTGAATTGTATTTGTATCTATTCTATATTTTATGATCCACTTTGACCGTACATTTATTGATGTGTGTCATTAATATAATCTTTTCCTCTTTCTGTGTATTCTATGTGGTATGCATAAGGTTCAAGCCACTTTGACTGAATTCTTAATTTGATCGGTAGTCCTTGTTTTATCTTCAAACCTTGTTGCAATTGAAATGGTAAACCATGTTTTTTTCTTCTCAGGAATGTCAACATTTGGGCTGCATTTCTCGTCGTACAAGCTTCTTGTGCTTTAATTTACTTTTACATACATGGGAAAAGAATTGTATTTGGTCAAAATGTGAATCATAAATTGTCAGTCCAGCTACCATCTGAAATTCGTCCAAAGGCAGTTCCAGATGATTTGAAAAGACCTGACAAGCGAGATAACAGGTCGCTAGCGACTCCCAACAGTTTTAATGGTCATACAGATAAACTGATTGTTTGGTATAAAACTAAAGTTAACTGGGAACAATACAACGAACAAAAAGTTCAGTGCGGTATTTACACATGTGTGTTCTCTACAAACACGTCCTACCTGCACCAAGCAGACGCTGTTGTATATCACGCATGGGTGGTGACGAGGACCTTCATCATGAAGCCACCAGTAAGAGCTAATCCGGACCAGGTGTGGGTATTCTTTTCTCTGGAACCATGGGCAAACTACCGCAATCAGTTCCCAAGAGAGAACTGGAATAGTGTGTTTAATTGGACCTATACATATGAAAGAAAGTCTGATTTCCATGCTGAGTATGGCTCTCTGAGAAGACGACAGCAGTTGAGGAAGTATGACTGGAATGAGGTCATGTCACAGAAGACAAAAAAGGTATTGTGGTTCGTAAGTAACTGCGGAGGTACAAGCAACAGAATGAAATACGTGGAAGAGTTAAAGAAGTATATCCCAATCGATATTTTCGGGCGTTGTGGGAAAGGAAAGTGCACTGTGGACGGGCATGATGATAAGTGTTACAGAAAATATAAATTTTATCTGTCCTTTGAAAGTACCTTTTGTAAAGATTATGTCACGGAGAAGTTTTTCAAGACATTTCAGTATAACCGCCATATCATTCCTGTAGTTCGAGGCAATGGGGATTATGCCAAACATTACCCCAAAGACACGTTCCTGAACACAGCTGACTTCCGGTCGCCTAAGGACCTGGCTGCGCATCTTTTATATCTGGACAGGAACTCCACTGCCTATCTTGACCTTCTCACAACACATGCGCAGTATGAACATGTTCTTTTCACAAAAAACAGCTGCGAGATGTGTGTTAACCTCCACACATTAGACCAACACAGAAAGTCGTACCCTGATATCTCGAGCTGGATGGACAATTGCGACAGTCGGAAAGATTATTGAAAACGTCAAGGTCAAAGTGTTTTCACATTTGTTTCTCTCAAGGGGAAAGTCGTGGTGTGGGTGAGTGTGTGGCGTGAGACCAAGTCTCCTAAGGCATTGCATTTAGTTGCCTCCCTCAGAAGAACCAGATCGTGGGTTCGAAGCTTGATATCGGAAAATTATAGTACGGTAACCGATGGGGTTTGAACGTTAACTAAAAGACCTTTAATGTTGTTTCCAGAAGGTTTGAAAAGCACTTAATACTGTACTCATAAAGACCTATTTTGAAATGTTTATATAATTATCAATCTCTGTTTCAAAGAGTAGGTTCTACAATGTTCTATAGTAAAATAATTCAGCATTAATATGTGATTCGTAAATGGTTATAAGAAATATGGAATAATGGTGAAAAGATAAACCCTGGATATAATTTGCAAAAGGTATATCAGGTACTACTAGGTGAAGTAAATAACCAAAATACTTGTGTTAACCAAATATTGAGTTTTGGAACACATTTTGGTACCAAAACATGTACTAGTACTCTTCGGCTAATAATCTTATTACTTTGTGTGCAATTGTGAAAAATATCTATCCAAGAGGAAAGGTAAGTTGTTGTTACTTCTTCGCAGAATTGGTTTGAAGGGAAAGTTGATTCGTAGCGTCAAGAGTATGTACAAGGTTTTCAAATCTTGTGTCAAGACTAATGAAGGTTTTTCAGATTTCTTTGAATGTCCGATTGGAGTAGGACAAGAATGCTTCTTGAGTCCTGTACTATTTTCTTTGTTCATTAATGAGTTGGTGACTGAAATAATTAATTGAAACAGTAGAGGTATTCAGTTGTATACTGATATCATTAACGTTTTTCTGCTACTTTTCGCAGATGATGTTGTTCTTGTTGCAGATAGTGTAAATGGTCTGCAGAAGCGTCTTGATATTCTCCAAAGTTATTGTCATGGGATTTGACTGTTAATATGTCTTAAACTAAAATAATGTGTTTTAGAAAAGGTGGACAATTTTCACGTTTTGAAAAGTGGACCTACGGTGGGAATAATGTGGTTGTCGTTTATAATTATACCTATTTTGATCTAGTTCTTACAGGTCAATTTCGTTTTTCGCAAAGTTGCAATTTTGTTGCTATAAAGGCAAAGAAAGCATTATTTGAAGTTTTAAGAACGATGTACACCTATATAGTTTACCTACAAGCATTTTCTTTACAATATTTGATTCTCAGATTATGCCAATGTTTTCGGGGCTTTCAGGGTCTAGAGTGTTTTAGAGGGATAACAACATTTAGCGAGTAAGCGGTTTCCTAACAAGGTTTCCTTAGTACAAGGGCTCCGAATGTTTTAGCTATGGGCGAATGTGGCAGATTCCCAGTTTATTTGGCTTCCTTGTTGAGACGTGTTAGATTTTGGCTAAGAGTTACTCAGTCTCGCATGCCTAGTCATATGTATCTACATACAGTAGATGAAATGGTGTACTCCTTGGATAATGGTGATCGCCATACATGGGCCTCTTCGCTTAAACAAGTTTTATTTAGCTACGGTTTTGGTAACGTTTGGGTGTTTCAAGGTTTTGGCAGAGTTAAAGTATTTTGTCTGAATTTAAGCAACGTGTTCCTGACATCTTAACTCAGGAATTGAAATCTAGCTTGCAATGTAGTAGCAGATATGACTCTATTCTTCATTTAAATTAAATTTACAACCCGAATTGTATTTAACGCATGTTGACTGTTCCTCATATCGTCGTGACTTGACGAAACTGCGTATTTTCATGGCCAGACGTCAAGTTGAACTTGGTCGATAATATAACGTAATAAGATCACTGCGACTGTGTAAGGTGTGTAAGTTAGATATGATTGAATAGGAATTTCATTATGTTATGATATGTCCAGCTTATGAAAGCTTAAGATCTAAATACCTACTGTTTGTCTGTACATACTATGATATAAAAACTAGTTTCATCAACCTAATGGCATCTAATGATACAAATGCTATTATCAAGCTTCACACTTACCATGCACTACGTCTGAGACGTCCGATTTTGTAAACTGCAAATTCCAACCTGCTGCTTGTATCATCTGTATGGACCGGGGGACACACATGCTCAATAAACAATTGAATTGTATGTCCTGCGTCAGGCCTATCGTTTTGATCAACGTGGTGTGTGTTTCTTTTGACATAATGTTTTAAACAAAGATGCTTAGATGTACAATATCAAACATCACTTCTTACCTATCATTTGACGTAACCAGAAATGTTTGATTAACAATACGCGGTGCAAGTGTGTTAGAGTTTGAAACAATTCTATGTAAACGAATCAGTATTTGCACGTGTCGTGGTGTTTCTGCATGCCGAAGAACTGTGCAATGGAGAGTAGGAGTACCACCCTACCATCAGGATTAGGCTGTGGGATGCTGATGTGAGGGACCGTCGACTATCTCCCTTTCACAGATAGGCGCAGAGAGGAACGTCTGGCGTGGTGTAGGCTTCGAGAACAACGCAATTTGGCGTTAGTTTGTTTGCTGCTTAACGCCTTCCTCAGCGATATGCCAGCTATATGGCGCCGGTCTTTAAATAATCGAGCAGGACCAGACAATCCAGTGACTAACATCATGAGCAACGATCACGCGATAGGGTACGATAACATGTGTCAACCAAGTCAGCGACCCTGACAACGCGATCCCGTTAGACACTTCTTACCACAAGCATGGGGTGCTGAAGACCAATTCTAACCCGGACCTTCACGGGTCGCATCTTGACGTCATGGCGTTGGGTTCATTAGTCTGATAAAAGTCGCTATATTCTACACGTTGTCGTCATGAGTGTTCCCGTCGGCCTCGTCGTTGTCAATCCTGCATCAACCCCAATGGTGGACACACACACGATACTGAATTCTGACACTCCATCTCTTCAAGGGCGTGTCACGTTGCCTAGTGTGAAATCATACAGAGTTCGATATTATCCTGTCAACAGTTAAACAGTGATTAAGGAGAACACCACAAATTAAGGCATTATCTTTTTGCATTAAAAAATGGCATGGCATTAAATAATGCAGTTACTTTATTCCAGTGGTATATTTGCTGAACACGCATGGTTAAAGCAGTGACACGTTTTACATTGCAAACGCTAAGTCGTCACTGCCCATTGACACGTGGTGACATAAATCAGGACCAATAATTGACTTTAAATCTACTCGTCTTCAAATAATACATCCGTGATACAATACCAAACAAATAGGCTTCGAACTGCATCAAAGCAAAACATTTTTCTGAATTTTACTCAATCTTAATTTCTCGTTCTTGTTGCGAGCTTTCAGTTATATTTGCAGTTTGTAAAATGTGTTCCATTTATTCTTTCGTGCATATTCATTATGTGGTTCCACTTTCCACTGTTGGTAATCTGGTCTATGTTACTTAGACCCATCAAAGTGAGTGAGTATGGTTTTACGCCACGTTTAACAATATTCCAACAATATCACGGCGGGTATCACGAAAAATGGGCTTCACACTTGTGGGGAATCGAACCCGGGGCTTCAGCGTGACGAGCAAACGCTTTAACCATTAGGCTACCCCATCGCTCCAAACACATCAAAGGTTTGAACGAGTGACGAATAACGCAGTAAGGGCCGTTGATGGTCAAGGCTGACTAGCACCTGAAATGAACATGTACAGAAAATTTATTAAAAAATTAAAATGAATGAACTTGGTCAAATATAATGAAAAGGAGCCCAGAGACCTTCCTGTAACTGCAGTAATCTAAACTTCTAAACTGTTTCTGATGGGAGCGGGCGGCAATAAGTTACATAACTTGTACCCAATCCATTTCAACACTGAATAAATAACAATCTAAACCTGCCAGATATTATAGACTCGCATGGGTTGTATTGTGTATACTGGTTTCAGGGTCAGTATAACAAAGACTGTAGATCTTGCAGACAGGCCTAGCTTTTGGATTTCTGAAATGGGAAAACCCCAAATGGAGCAAATCTAGTTTTCCCTCGGGTTCAGGACCGAATCTTCTTTCCCCTTTCAGATTAAGTAGGAAATCTACGTTTAGAGACTAACCCTCTACTGGCGCTATCACCACCGCATGTATGCTGTTTTACTTTTCTAAACTGACTGACTGAGTTTGGTTTTACGCCGCTTTTAGAAATATTCCAACAACATCACGGCGGGGGACACACATTGTACCCATGTGGGGATTCGAACCCGGGTCTTCGGTGCGACGAGCCAACACTTTAACCACTAGGCTACCCCCTCGCCCCTTTTTGCTAAACAGTCTACACCTTGCATTTCTAGATGTACTTTTTCTGTTCAAACTGAGCGGCTGTAGAGAACGGGAAAAGGTCGAATCCATAAGCATAAAATACGTTCTGCGCCTATTTCATTCAGTACTCGTCAGATAAAAATGAAACGAAGCGTCTTTAGTAAAATAAAAGCAGTTCCATATACAACTGTCGGATAACAATCACGCAAATCTGCCAGCACTGAGATCGCTACACAAAGCAGGGGCTCAAATAATATACTACAAACAAAAAATATGGGAACACCATAAACTTTTATATGGGAAGCTACATGGGAAGTCTTCCACATGCACTAGGTTGTTGTGTTTTGGAGTTTGAATCAGTCATGTTCACAGACAAAGTTATTTATGCATGAACCTGTGCTGTGCCGTCTCCATCCGTTCTCAAACACCTGGCTGTCCCTTTCTCTGCACTCCTCCCTCGTAACAAATAGTGAACTGTGTCAATATTTTAATGATAGATTGTTAAACAACTTTTTATTTTAGGACAAAAATTCTGCAAAACCTCACAGAGTGGGTATGATGTTTTGATTATGATCAGCGTTTCATTGAGTATTTTATGTTTATTAGTTTTCGAGTTAGATTGCAATTCATCGGTCCACTTTTGAGCCAAAAGGACTTAATCTTTGTGTTTGCAAATGATAGAAGTAATGGAATGATTTTACTTGTGTTTCAGGTAAAGGGCACCTGTTTGTTGATTATATATAATATCCATGT